CTCACGGGCCTCCTGGAGCGACGGAGTGTGCTGCTGGCTCAGACCACCGCCAGCGCCTCCACGACCACCACCGCCGCCGCCACCTCCTCGACCACCCCCTCCCCTGCCGCTGCCACGACCACCGCCGCCCCCGCTGCCGCCCCCGCCCCTGCCACCGCCCCCGCCGCTGCCGTCACCACCCCCACTGCCGCCACTAGTCTCTCCAGCCCCTCCTCCACTCCCACCGCCTCCACCCCCGCCTCCCCCGCCGCCACCTCCACCCCTGCCCCCTCTGCTCCTGCGGCGCCCGCTCGGAGCAGACGCCGTCCCGACCTTCTCAGCACCAAGGAGGTCGACAGCAGAAGCAGAGGCTACAGAGGGGAGAAGGGGGGAAGGGGAACACCCCTCAAAGAAAGGGGTGCGGGGGTCGCCACGAGAGGCACCTACAGCGACGATGCTCGCCTCAGCTGCAAGTAGTTCCTTCTCGAGGAGGGCAATGGTGAGCTCAGTGGGGCAGCGAGCTAGGAAGTGATCCCTGACTGTGCGCAGAGAGTCAGGGAGGCGGGTGACGATGTGATAGAGGGTGAGCCAGAGCGGGGGTGGGTTCGTAGCAAGGAACTCATCAGAGGTCAGCAACTGTGTGAAAGGAGGCCAGGTCGGGGAACAGGTAGGGGAGTGAGAGGCGGCCTAGTGCGGCAGAAGCAGGTGAGGAGTAGCGAGCAACGACAGCAGTGTACAGTTCCTTAGCAGTCTTGTGCTGGCCAAAGTGCTCGCGCTCATCTATCGGCAGGGAGTTGCGAATAGCAAAGCGAGCGTGGGCGTCACGAGTCTGCCACTGCGAGCGGGCAGTGCTGTCAGCAGTAGTAGGAGGGGCAGTAGTATGGCCGAGGGCATGATCGTACAGTGAGACGTCCTCCTTGGCAGTGAGCTGGAGGAAGAGGTGCAGGTCATCGAGCCAGGTGTCAAATTTCACTGGGCGGCCCTCAGCATCGTAAGCGAGCACAGGAGGACTAGCCATAGTATCAGCAGTAGTAGCAGTAGCAGTAGTAGCAGTAGCAGCAGTAGCAGTAGTAGCAGTAGGCCGTTAAGGGGCGGTGCGCGGGGTCGACGGGGCCGGCGGGGTCTCTATGGGCGGCGCACGCGGGGAGAACGGGGCCGGCGGGGCGTCTAGGCGGGGCGTGCGCGGGGTCGACGGGGCCGGCGGGGCCTCTAGGCGGGTCGCAAGCAGGGACGACGGGGCCGCGGGGCCTCTAGGCGGGGCGCATGCGGGGTCGACGGGGCCGGCGGGGCCTCTAGGCGGGGCGCGCGCGGGGTCGACGGGGCCGGCGGGGCCTCTAGGCGGGGCGAACGCGGGGTCGACGGGGCCGCGGGGCCACTAAACGGGGCGCGCGCGGGGTCGACGGGGCCGGCGGGGCCACTAGGCGGGTCGCGCGCGGGGTCGACGGGGCCGGCGGGGCCACTAGGCGGGTCGCGCGCGGGGTCGACGGGGCCAGCGGGGCCTCTAAGCGGGGCGCGCGCGGGGTCGACGGGGCCGTAAGCGGGGCCGTAAGCGGGGCGCGCGCGGGTCGACGGGGCCAGCGGGGCCTCTAAGCGGGGCGCGCGCGCGGTCGACAGGGCCAGCGGGGCCGAGTAAAAAAAAAAAAAGAGAAGCGCTCGAGGGCGGTGGGGGGAGGCGCTAAGGCGCGCTCCGACAGTAGGGCGCACGAGGGCGCTAGTACACAGTCAGTAGTGGTAAATTAGGTCCTAGCGAAGGACCTGCTCTGAAACCATGTCAGAATAACTGAGGCAGGAATGAATGAACTAACAGAAAGTTTGGTACAAGTATGAAACCCTAAGTTTGTGTACCCCCTAAGGTGTAACCCACTATAGCCTAAACAATATAAACATACAATGTTTGACAACCTCATGGTAATACGGCTCGTTTCATTTGTAATGGCGTTGACTCGAACCGACAAAGATGAAGGTGAGCTCCAGCAAGGTAGGGCGATGTTGTTACAGTTGACTCGCACAGTGCAGTCGCTCGTCGTCCAGCCTATTCGTGGGTTGTGTCGACGCAGCCAATCACGGCCGACTAAAATGTCGGTCCCATCGAGGATCGTCGCCAACATTTCCTGGGCGAAAGTGAAGTTACACTGGGAGCGAATCCGAGCTCGGTCCACACGCTCACATATTGCCAGTGGCGTGTAGTCGACCAGTCTTGCGTCGATCTCATGTATACACCAGTCCAGTGGCACTTTAAATTTCCATGCTGTTGCAGTATTAATTCGGGTGTGGCTAGCCCACCCGTCTACGAAAATCTTAACTAAGTCGGTGTGAGTTTTCTCGCTAAGCAGTATTGGACTTTCTAACGTTGATCCCTCATTGTTCAGCCGAGTTTGGTCGACTGCATGAATCGGCACTGTCACTCGGTGAGGGTCAGTCGGGTCGGGCGAGCGGCGTGACCTGTCTGAAGAGGGCCTGTCTGCTATTGACTCCCAGCATTTCCCCTGCTGGTTGGTCTGTTTCTGCTTTCTTTTCCCTTAGCTTCCGAGCATTCGTTTTTTGTGGTGCCTCGGCCGATTGCACGCGAAGGAGCGCCCTTTGAAAATGGCGGGAGCTGGCATTCGCGGCGACGGCACATTTCGTGGCATGCTCGTTCGTCCCACGAGCTCGGCGTACCCATTTGCCGTTGCTTTTGGTAGGACCCCGGTCTCAGGCGGTGGAGAAAAAAGAGTTTCTCAGCCATAGCGAGTATCTCATTCAATTCGGTGACGTTGCAGATCAGGATCTCATGCGCGATGCCGCTTTTTAGGCAGCCAACGTAGCGGTCGATGGACGCAGCTTCATACATCTACCCCACCTGCTCGCATAATGCCAGAAACCCGGTGGTGTAATCTTGGCCGCGAAGTGCGGAGATTCTGATGTGAGGAAATCGACGCCGCGATTGGCTCAAATTTCCCGTGTAGACCTGCGCACCACACATCCCAGATACATAACCCTAAACCATAAACCTCCACGAAATACGACGGCGCCCAGGGTCCATTTGGTCCTTCCCATGGCGGTAGAGCCTCGTAGTCGCCCAGCTTCGTGGTGATGACGCGCCATAAATCCATGGCGGGTCCTCGTAGTAACGAGACGGCGTAGCGGATTTTACCGTGAAGAAAACATTTACCGTGAAGATCCAGAGCTGAATCCGTCGGGCCACCCTGTTGACTGGGGTTGAAGCATGGGAGGCGGTGCCGCTTGAGCGGCATTGGTGAAGGAAGTGTCGACACATCGATATGCGCCGATATGTTGACGCGACGCTGACTCCCAGCCGCGTTCGTTGCTACGGGGTGTGTCGTCTCGTGGTCGTCGCGAGACCACGAGCAGCGCTTGAGTGTTGTCCCACACTCTCGTATTGGGTGGGGGATGGTGCTCTTTGTGCTGTTGATCCTTCCGTTTGTGTCTGTGCTTGTTGCGCCCGTGCAATGTTTTGCAATGATGTACATTCTGCAGTTACTCGCAATTTCCTCGGCGCTTTCGTACAGTTGGCGCGTTAATGCGTGCAGGCACTCCTGCGCAAGGGTGGCAAGGTCGATGCGGTCACCCATATCGAAGGACGGTGGCCAATCTACTGTAGGTGCTAGGCGCAGACGCAGCTGTTCGTGCCTGCGAGAGACCGCAAGGACAGGGCTCCGAAAGTTGAGTTCTGCTGGTTGCGGAAATGCACGGTCCGAAAGGAAAGTGGCTTTGATAACCAAATGTTACACGTGCAATGTATTGAGGTAGCAAGGATTGCTAAGTTGGCAGATTAGAAGTATGAACGAAGGCATGAGCGAATTCTAAGCGAAACATACAAACTATAACGCTGCGCGTCCGAGTTGGCTAGAGCGATGCTATCAATGAGGTTCGGGCTGGTCCCGAAGCGTAGGCCGACTCTGGCCAGGCCAACGATGCATGGTTTGGCAAGTATGGCATGCGAATGCGGCAAAATACCGTTATCAATTACGGAGAAGAAACGGTTGGTCGTGTACGCAATGCCGAGATGCGCGGCAAGGAATGGAAAAAAACCTTAAACTGGGCTCGAATGGATAGTCAATTATGTAATTATTTCATTTGAGCGGTTTTGTTGTTTGTATGTAGCCAATCACCACGGAATAATTAGGAAGGCAATTGAAAAGGCGGTGTTATGAGCTATAAATGAAGAGTGCGTGAAAGAAACAATATATGTATACGAACAATGTTATATTACAGATTACAGATGCAATCTAACACAAGTTTTAGCAAGGTACGCTCATTTGGCGGGGATTTCGGTATTCGAGGTTCGGCACACGTTTGGTTTCGCCAAGGTCCGGAGCGAAGCGAGGACCTCGGGCCCAGCCTGTCATGCCGAGTGTCGCTAGCTATCTCCCCCAACCAGAACCGAGACTCCAAGCCAAGCCCCGTCCCCTACCTTTCGCGGGCAGCCTTGGCGAAATTTGCGCGAGCACCTTGGCGAAATTTGCGCAAGCCCCAGCCACACAACTGACCGCGTTTCTCGTATCAAACCACTCAACCGTACAACATCTGTTAGAGAACACCACAATAACGCAGTGTACCGCATTTAAATCCCGAGGGGTCCCTGCAACCTAGCCACCTCCTATCCAAACCAAACCAGTCGCTCGTGCCTCCCTCCCTTCCCCCGACAACTTCGAGACTTCTCTCCCTCCTCTCCCCGACTGCCTTTCTCCTCTCACCCTGCCTAGGCCAACACACTCACAAATCTGCGCTGCCTACAAATCTGCACTTGAATACCCCGTTTCATTCACTACTCTCGCTTCAAGCACTAGCTACTACCTTGCCAGCCTTTCGAGCTCTGTTCGACTCCGCTGTCCGGTTTCCTCGATGGCCTCAATCTCCGATTACCCTTCGTATCGTGCCGCGCTTAGCTTCTGGAAGAGTCTGAACACGAAAAATGGCGTTCCAGCCAACGCTGCAGCGCCAATGCTGCCAGAGATGCCAGCGGTGTCGTCGGATGCTGAAGCTCTTGATGCTTCAGCGTCGGAGGTTCAACCGTCGGATCATGCTGGAGCGTCAGATGCTGGAGCATCGGATGCTACAGCATCGTATGCTGAACCGTCGGATGCTCCTAAGCTATCCGCTTCCACATCGCAAGCTGAACTGTCGGATGCTACAGTATCGGTCGCTGAACCGGCGTATGCTACACCGTCGGAGGCGGAACCATCGGATGCTACACCGTCGGATGCTGAAGTGTTGGATGTTCCAGCCTCAGATCCAACGGTGTCGGTTTCGGCGATGCTATCGCCAGCTGGTTGCACGACGGCGGCAGCTAGAAGGTCAACGAATGCTGCACTAGCGCTGCTGCCGTCGCGGATCCCGAAGCCAAACGGTAAGAGAGCAGTGGTGAGGCGCGTGCGACGCTCATCCCGAGGCCTAAATTCGCTGCACCGTCGCAGCTAGCAGGCAGGGAGGCGCGGGGAGTGGAGGACGAAGCTGCAGGCAAGCGGCCGAGCAGAGCGGCGAGGGTCGTGCGGTCAGCCAGCTCACGGCGGCCATGGCGGCCTTGACACGCTGCAGTGGGGGAAACAATATATAAAATGAAAAAGACCAAGAAAATATGCGAATGGGCACTCAGCAAACGGCAAGTGACGGCGCTGAACGTCTCAAAGGCACAGCCATGGCGGCCTTGAGCTACTGCTGTGGGGAAAGAAATAATCTGGCTGAAGAAAAAAATATGTTATACGGAAAAAAAAGTTGGAGAGTGAGAAAGCGGTAAGTGATGTTGGTTGAAAGCACAAAGGCGCAGGGACTCACAGCCATGGTGGCCTTGGCTGCAGCAGTTGAAAATAATGACCCATCACTGGAAAGAAGAAAGAGGGCGAGAGAGAAAGACCTGAAAAAAAGCATGTGAAGAAGAGGGAGGTCGGGGAATGGGGGATGGAAGAGACGAAGAGTGAGCGGCAGATGGATGGAGGCAACGGAGCACAGCAGCTGGCAGCAGCAGGGAGGGAGTTGGTGTGAGTTGGTTGGAGGGGTGTGGGTGGGGAACTTGGTGGAAGCAGTAGCCTTTTTTCACCCAGCTTGCCTGGGTGTTTGTGGGAGTGTGGGAGGTTGAAACCGGTGGAGGGTGGCAGGGGTGAGGAGGTGATGCTGTGCTGAAATGTGCTCCTCAAGGGATGGCTCCAAGGGAAATGTGCTACCGTATCTAGCTGCTGACTTTCAGGCGAATGTGCTTTCTACGTGGTGGGTTCAGGTGTTCCCAAAGGGAGTACACTACTTTGCTATGTACTTGAAGGCAAGGCAAAATAGTATACTTATCTTGTACTCGGTAATGAATATTAGTATTATTGGGATGTCAGTGTTTGTGCAGCCATGGCAGGAGTAGCACTGCAGAAATGGTCATGTGAGCAACAGGGGCAGCTGCCTGGCGAAACAGAGAGGAGGGAGGAATGGGAGCAACAGCGGCTGCTGCCTGGTGGGTGGGGAGGGGGAGTGAGGAAGGGAGACGGGGGGTGAGGAGGAGGGGAGATGGCAGAGAAGGAAAATGTGTTGGCAGGACCTAAAGGGGAGGATGGATTCGCCTGGCTCGCATCTCCCTGGCTCCCTCCCTACCGCTCTCACTCCCACCTCCTCTGCCCGCCGCCACTCGCTGCTGGCCAGAATGGTCCGCCACTTCCCCACTTCCCCACTTCCCCACTTCCCCACTTCCCCACACTGCCCTCCGTCCCTCCCCTTGTCTCCACCCCTCTCACCTATTCCTCCCACTCCTCACCCCCATCCGCCTCTGCCACCCCGCCTCCCCTGCCAGCAGCGACAAGTGAGAATAGCAAGCAGCACCCACCACTGCTGCTGCCCACAATGGCCGCCACTGCCCTCATCACCTCCCTTCCCTCATGCGAAAACACCCGCCACCTCACTCACAGCCTCGCACCAACCCTATCTTTGGTTCCAGACCCACCATCCCCACGCACCACCCACCATCCCCACGCACCACCCACCATCCCTACGCACCACCCACCATCCCCACGCACCACCCACCATCCCCACGCACCACCCACCATCCCCACGCACCACCCACTATACCCACGCACCACCCATTATCCCCACGTACCACCCACTATCCCCACGCACCACCCACCATCCCCACGCACCACCCACCTGTCCAGCAAGCAACAGCGCGTCATTGGGAGATCTTTGGGACGGGAGATCTCTGGGTGGGAGATGGCTTCTGCTGCACCAACGCGCATGGGCGGTGGGGTTGGCACATGGCGGTGGGGTTGGCACATGGCGGTGGGTTTGGCACATGGCGGTGGGGTTGGCACATGGGCGGCAGGTAGGCAAGCGACAGGGGGCGGGGGAGAGAGAGAGGGGATGGGTGAGCGAGGAAGTGCCGTAATAGCGAAAAGGGTAGGAGAAATGGCGAGGGCACAAGGAGAGGAAATGAGTTGGAGGGAGAGGGGGGTCGCTCAAAAGCAGGTCGGATTCACAGGGAAAAGAATGAATGGGAGGGAGAGAGGGGATGGGTGAGCGAGGAGATGGGTGAGAGAGGAGATGGGTGAGAGAGGAGATGGGGGAGAGAGGAGATGGGGGAGAGAGGAGATGGGGGAGAGAGGAGATGGGGGAGAGAGGAGATGGGGGAGAGAGGAGATGGGGGAGAGAGGAGATGGGGGAGAGAGGAAGTGCTGCTGAAGAGAAAAAAGGGTGGGAGAGAGGGAAAGGAAAGGAAACGGGCATGGCGTGCACATGCATGCATGTGTGCAGTGAGAGGTGATGAGAATGTGCATGAGGCATGGGATTGTGGTTGTGCTTCGTCCACCTGCGTGCAGCGATAGCATGAGAAGTATGAGGAGACATGGCGGCAGGTGATGTGGCAGGTTGGTGTGGCGGTGGTGGATGGGCAGGCTGGGTGCGCGTGCCGTGCAGGCAGAGATGCGCGGCGACCCGCCACGGCGTGGCTTGGTTTGGCGCCCAGCAGAGGTGCCGTGGCCATGGCGTCATGGGCGCCCCCTCAGCCACACGCACAGCAAACACACCCCGCACGCACAGCTCATGCCTGCCACTCCCTGGGAGGGGGGCAATGGCGGGAACGGGAGAGGGTGCGGTGGGGACAGACGGCAGATGATGGGAGAGGGGGGAGATGATGGGAGAGGGGGGAGATGATGGGAGAAGGGGAGATGATGGGAGAAGGGGAGATGATGGGAGAAGGGGAGATGATGGGAGAGGGGGGAGATGATGGGAGAAGGGGAGATGATGGGAGAGAAGGCGGGGCGACGGCAGAGACGATGAGTAGAGCAGTTGAGACACGGTGGTGGGTGTCACGACGCCTATCATACCTGTCAAGCAATCCACGTGTGGGAAAGTGATGAGCGCGAGACAAGAGGAACGGACGAAAAGAAGTGGAAAGTTAGGTACGGGTTGGGGCGGGAGAAAGTGATGAGCGGGAGAGAAAGTGATGAGCGGGAGAGAAAGTGATGAGCAGGAGAGAAGACGGAAGAGGAACGGACGAGAACGATTGGAAAGTTAGGTACGGGCTGGGGCGTTGAAGATGGTGCGATTGGGAAATGAGGCATGAGATGCAGGGCATGGCAGGGGCGTTGAGTGCATGCGTGCATGGTGTGCACTGCGAGACGAGCCTGGGAGTGACGCACCTCACCTGCGCCTTTGGCATGTGAATGTGAAGCACCGCGCGCGTGGCATCATGGCATGGCGCAAGGCAACGCAGGCATGGCGTGGCTTGGTGTGAGCGACACCCCGCGATGACGTCATGGCGCGGATGCAGCGGCACGGCGGGCCGCGATGGGCGAGGAAACACCCGCAGCACGATGCGCGGCAGCTCATGCCTGGCAAGCCGTGGGACTGGCGCGATGGGGGAGAGGGGGGGTAGCGACGGACGGCACGCAGGGCACAGGTGGGTTCGGGAATAGCAGAGGGGTTGGGATGGACGCATGTATGAGCGGAGGGTAAGGCGGAGACGAGTGAAAGGGGGGTGGAGGAAGGTGCGAGAGGAGGGCAGCGCGAGCAGCGATCACGTGATCAGGGTTGAGGCGAGCGGAATGCGCGCAGTGTGAGGAACGATCGCGCGTGACAAGACGTCCGCAGGAGAGACGGCGGGGTGACGGGAGAGGGCGGCGAGGCGACGGGCTTGACGAGGAGGCAGAGCAGCGACGCTGACACACGGCCATCGTACCTCTCCACCTCGCCACCAGTCAGCCGCTGAGTGCAACACAGTCGGCGGCAGAGGCCGTGCAGAGCGCGCCGAGCCGAGCAGCGGCGCGCTGCAGCTGACGGAAGTCCGCCACTCCGCGCGTCGCTCCAACCCTCACCGCCTCTGCTGCCGCCAACGGTATCCCCGCCATGCGCTCGCCCCCGCGACTCACCATCCGCGTCCCCACATCGCGCTCACAGAGTCGGCGCGCAGCTTTACAGTCGTTTTTTATTATAGCCTATGGCCAACTCAAGTTTGCTTGGACTAGGACAGCGGGTAAATTAGGGCGTGTAAAATTGTAACGACCAAACGCTATGGTTGTTCATGTGGGCGTTTCTGGCGATTGCGAGGAATTAGGGTTACGCTGTTTAGAGTAGTCACCCCGACTTGACCGAATAGCAGGGGTATTATGCATAGAAATTGGACGCACTGCATTTTGGGACCTACGTAGACATGTTTCCTCAGCGAGGGGAAAAACCTTTGTGCTCGCCCAAACTTAATGCTTTGTTAAATACTCGGGTCTAGGCCTCCAAGCCCCCTGTATTCCACCCCGTTCGAATGCAGTAGTAAGAATTTAATTTTTCGATTTCAATTACGGGGATGGTTCGTGGCGGATGCCCCACGCGCTCGCGTAAGTTTTGGCGGGGATCGCTTACGCGTTACATCGTTTCGCATTCGCCAGAAACGCGCAAAGGGCGGAAAATTGGTTTGGTCGTTACAATTTACACGCCCTTAGGACGCGTCACAAGTAAAATACCGAACCTACTTGCTCCACTAGAAACTGATCTGAATTCGAAAGGAGGATCTGTAGGGTGATGAGTGGTCGGTACTTTGAAAACGTTTTTAATTAATCGTTTAACTGAGATACAGAACGGTAACAGTGTGGATAAGATCCGAGCAACTCCTTTTGAGGTCACCTCGCTGGGCCGCAATCAACCGATCATGCCCACAACCAGTGAAGTGAAGATATTTGTGTTGTCGAACCAGTTTCCATGCCACGTCACACCACACCATGAAGCACCAGCTTGACCGATTGACGATAGGGCGAAACGTCGCACACATTTTCGCAAAACACATCACCAGCCCAACCCATCGCCCAATTCTGAGAACTTTTATTTTACACCGATTGGTCGATCTTGGATTGCGGGGATTTGCATCGACCAGTTTTGGAGATTTCGGAGCATCGCAGAAGATTGGAAACCAAGCGGTGCGCGCGTGATGCGTCAGCGTCCAATCACAACACCACCTCTCCCTCCCTCCCGTAACTCCTCGTTCTCAAGTTCATAACTGGCACCAGTCGCAGCAGAACAGCAGTTATCGGTTTCATTCGTCCAGGAATTTCCTTACCGCAGCTTCTCTTCGAGAGACTCGCACATCCACAATGGCTGCTCTCGCCAACGCTGCCGTGCTCCCCTCCACCTTCGTCGGCCAGAGCGCTGAGCTCGCCGCCAAGGTGAACAATGTCGAGGCCCGCGTGACGATGAGGAAGACCGCCAAGGCGGCTTCCAGCAGCGCCTTCTACGGCCCCGACCGCAACCTGTTCCTGGGCCCGTACACCTCCCCCCCGGCTTACCTCACCGGCGAGTACCCCGGCGACTACGGCTGGGACACCGCTGGCCTGTCCGCTGACCCCGAGACCTTTGCCAAGAACCGCGAGCTGGAGGTAAGCCGACCGGAATCTCTAGCAAGAAATATGCGACGCAATTTTCACGAAAGAAGATGAACCAGCCTCTCTAAACGCATCACTTTTTTATTTAGCAACAACTTTGGAACGTCCCCACCTTCGCTTCTTAACGACGGTCACAATCTCAATTTACTGACCGAATGCACTGTTTGTCAATCTTTCAGGTCATCCACGCTCGCTGGGCTCTGCTCGGCGCGCTCGGCTGCCTGACCCCCGAGCTGCTGGCCGGAAACGGCGTGAACTTCGGCGAGGCCGTGTGGTTCAAGGCCGGCGCTCAGATCTTCTCGGAGGGTGGCCTGGACTACCTGGGGAACCCCAGCCTGATCCACGCGCAGTCCATCCTGGCCATCTGGGCCACCCAGGTCATCCTCATGGGTGCCGTCGAGAGCTACCGCGTGGGTGGCCTCGAGGGCTTCCAAGAGGTTGAGGACCCCCTGTACCCCGGCGGTGCCTTCGACCCCCTGGGTCTGGCCGACGACCCCGATGCTCTTGCCGAGCTGAAGGTGAAGGAGCTGAAGAACGGCCGCCTCGCCATGGTGTCGATGTTTGGCTTCTTCGTCCAGGCCATCGTCACCGGCAAGGGCCCCCTGGAGAACCTGTCCGACCACCTGGCTGACCCCACCGTCAACAACGCCTGGGCCTATGCCACCAACTTCACCCCCGGTGCTTAGATATTTAGCCCTTTATGTTGTAAATTTATTCCTATACAATTATTCAAGCCAATTTCAGCTTAGTAGCTGAAACATCAAATTTCTACCGCGGAGCGAAGACAGCTGTCGCTCGTACGCTGAAGATGGCGGGAAGTAGTCACCAGAAAAATAAACGCGTACAGTTCACTATCGACGCTACCTCACCTCAAACGAATCTTTAGGAGTGTTATGAATTGCACTGAAGATGACAACCCCAGCTGGAAACATGATGCACACCGGGCACCACACCTTGAAACAATCACAACCAACTGACATGAATGACACGTTGAACTTATACACACGCACAAACACACATGCACGGACACACATGCATATACACATACATACAAGGAGGATAGGGAAAGCAAACAAGGAGTCGCAAGTAATTGGATATCAACAATCACTGCTAGCCTGCCCCCAGTTCCTATCCTGTTCCCCCTTCCCTCTTCATCCCTTGCTTTTCCACATCTTCCCCTCGCCTTCCCTTTTCTGCTCCCCGTGATGTGGCTCGCATATCCTGCAAAACATCCAGGTCATGCAAAAAATGTTAAGAATAATGAGTAGAAAGTTTAGAAGCAGAAAGAGGGGTTTCACTAGCAGCAGTTGAGATACAAATAGCAAACCCTAACTGGGCCGTACTCACTATTGAGTACCCCACTGCAGGCTAGAGAATATAACATTCTGACACACCCCCATAGCCAAAGTGGGGTGTAATCAGCACAACAAGCAGTCATAGCAGTAGTTCACAATTTATGAGCAAAGCTAGAGGCAGTCATAGCGAGCAAGTGAGGAGGAGGAGGGACTGTGAGAGGAGAGAAGATGGGAGGCGACGACTGAAGCTGCAGACACACGGGCAACAGAAGCGGCTGACACAGTGGCGGCTGACACAGTGGCTACCGAGACAGAGCACCCCGGAATACTGGAGTAACTGGCTCTGCGGCTACGACGAGCGGCAGAAGCAACGGACCCACGGGCGACTGGTGCAGCAGGCTCTCAGTGGCTACCGAGACAGTGCGTCCCGGAATACAGGAGTAACAGGCTCTGCGGCTGCGACGAGCGGCAGGAGCAACGGACCCACGGGCAACAGGTGCAGCAGGCTCTCTGAGCTACCGGCGACAAGGGCCCCGGAATACAGGCGCTGCGGACGACACGACGGCTGCCTCCACTCAACCTCCCCCAACTGTCCCACACCCCTCGACACACACCCCCTGCTGCGCCCCTAGCTCCACTCCCCCTTCACCCCCCTAGCACCACTCCTTCGGCTCCCCACACAACCACCCCCCTGAGCGGCAGCTGCAGCAGCGGGAGACGGAGGAGGAGGAGGAGGAGGAGTAGGGGACGGGGCACACAACCGGCACCCCCACAACCGCCACCCCCACACTCTTAGAATCTTAGACTAGGAAGAAGTGATTGGATTAGGTCAAGGGGGGGGTACAAGAGAGAATGTCGAGAGAATTTCTGTACCCCCTAGTGCTACCCCACTACAGCCTAGATAAAACTTGTCAAACATTGCATGTTTATATTGTCTAGGCTGTAGTGGGTTACACCTTAGGGGGTACACAAAGTTAGGGTTTCCTACTTGTACCAAACTCTGTTCTAGTTCATTCATTCCTGCTCAGTTATTTCTGACATGGTTTCAGAGCAGGTCCTTCGCTAGGACTGTTCTTAGGGCCCACCGACTTACCTACCTGCTTACCTTCGCTTGTTTCCGGCCCCGCTGGCCCCGTCGATCTAGCACGATCTAGCGGCCCTG